AGGTGTAAATTTACTCAACTGTGCAGAATTTACATGTGAGCAAATCAGTTCATACGACAAAAATTGCACATGTGAGTAAATTTACATATGAGTAAAATATACTGAGGTATGCAAATCATGTCGTATGAATGGGGTATATGTCTAGTTTTAAATCTTTACATGCTGGAGTCCCCCAGGGGTCTGTATTGGGGCCACTTTTATTCTTGATATATGTCAAAGATGTCGCTGAAAATTTGTCGACTTTAAGCAGATTGTATGCTGATGATAATTCTTTACAGAAATGTTCAGAAAATGTACATGATATTCAATTAGAATTGAATAATGATTTAAATCAACTTGAGCGGTGGTCTAAACAGTGGCTATTGAAATTCAATCCTACGAAAACAAAAGCTGTATTTTTTAGCACTAAGAAAAATGTAGATTTACATTTCTCAAATTTCAAGATTGTGACTTAGATTTTGTATCATCACATAATCACTTAGGTATTCTCTTTTCAAATGACCTCACTTGGTCAGCGTACATTGATTCTATCGTGGCCAATGCATATAAAAAATTAGGTCTACTTAAAAAACTGCAATTCAGGGTCAGTGCTAAAACTTTATCTCTTTTATACTTTTATAAGACCTCAGTTAGAATACGCAACTGAAGTTTGGTGTGGGTGTTCTAGTCAAGATTCCGAAAAATTAGAAAAATTACAACTTGCAGCGGCAAGAATAGTCACTGGGTTAACTTCATTAGCATCGCGAGATTCTCTTTATTTTGAAACTGGTTGGGAACCACTTGCTGTAAGACGAATTTCCAAAGTTAGAACAACTATGTATAAAATATATGATAACATGGTACCCGAGTATCTGAAAGATATATTTCCAAATATTCGATCACATGAATCAAATTATGTAACAAGTCACAAAATTATTGCATCCCTAAGTGTAGATTAAATATATATAAATCATCATTTGTTCCAATAGCAATAATGGAGTGGAACACTTTGTCTCTTGAAACACGACAGTCTACTACTATAAGTTCCTTCAAAAATTGTGTAAACTCTCAGAGAACACCCACCCCATCCTTTTTTACTTTTGGTGATCGTTACTGGGGTGTAATTCATACTAGATTAAGACACAATTGTGTTCTAAATAAAGACTTATTTAGATGTAATATTATTGACAGTCCATTATGCACTTGTGGAAAAATAGAAGACGCATATCATTTCTTTTTCTCTTGTACGAAATACACTGCTCCAAGAAACGAATTGTTCAATGCTATTTTTAGAATGATTAACTTACGTATTGTAGACACTCATGTTCTGTTATGGGGAGATAATTCAATCAGTATTTCTGAAAATGAAAGTTTATTTTTAAATGTGTAATTGTTTATCAGGAGATCTGGTCGTTTTTGAGTATTTTGATTCGTTTGTACATACTACATCAATTTAAATTCTGTACATGCATTACCTATGTTAAATAATCTTATTGACCTTTGGTTCCAGTGTAAATTAATTTTTGAACAAAACTTTGTGTAATTAATTGTTATAAAGGAGAGGACGTTCTAAGTATTAAGTACTTGTGTCCAATCCTTTTGTTGTAACATCTTAACAATAAAATATGTTCAAACCAAACTAGACGTACATTAACCGTTACATCTTACCAAGTATAGTGCTAGTGTGTTTACAATATCAAATGACCCTTTGGCATTATGTATTCACGCGTTCCGATTTACATGTACTTATTTGAAAGCTTTGAGATCACACATAAATAAAACCTGATATCTACAAATCCGTTTGCGCACAATAAATTAGTGGTTCGCCAAAAAAAAAAAAAATCAATCAAACCATCAAACTAAAAGGCTGTTTTCAGTGATTTTCCAGTGTCCATTAAGCCACTGAATGGCACATACATTTTATTTTCAGTTGCCTTTCAGTCAAATATCAGGTATCTTTCAGCGGACACATTTCCGTCAACTTTCAGTGACCTTTATGTCAACTTTAAGTTATCTTTCTGTCGTCCGTCAATGATCTTTCCGTTGTTTTTCAGTGACCATTCTGCCGCCACCTCTCAGAGTCACTTTATTCTTATTCTCAATTCAGCTTACTACAACTGTAGTTCATTATCAGATATTTCTCCTTTACAATATTTTGAATAAAGGAGAATATATGATAAGAGCCAATTTAGGCCCCCTAAAATTCAACATTTTAGAATGACATTCGAATATGTTTAATTGATATTTATTTTGTAGAAGAGATTATATTAGATATATTTCCAATATATAATTTTGAAAGAAGATTTACAGAGCAAAAATACTTTAACGAGGCTAGGGGTGGCAGCCATTTTTAGACTATTTCAATCTCCTTTAAAAGGAGAGCTCTATATAAAGATATACAAAATTGTGAAATTCTATAACTAAAATATATGATTTTTTTCTTTGTCAAATGATAGTTGACAGCTAAAGATACCGTGTGTAAAAAAATAATTTAAATCAGGTGGTTAATTTGGGATTAATTTGTTGACCCTCGAGCCTCCTTAACTGATAAAAATAATGATCCCAAAGTCACGTCAACATTTAATTAAATGTTGTACATGTATACATGTATTCTCGCATAATCATCGGTGTTAGATAGACTTCTCCCGTGTGAGACAACAGTGTGAGATTTTTCTGTCTTACACTATGTATAACTACGCTATAACGGTACTACTTTTTAAATGTAAACAATATCGTCTGCAATAAATAAATAATTATCATGGAGGGTGCAAGTACAAGTGTGCGATTCAAAAATGTGGAAACATATACTTTTATTGAAGCAAATGAAAACTCAAACACTTTACGAAAAACAATGGGCCATTTGAACATTTTACGTGAGTATTTTGAAATTAAAGGGGAGTCAAGAGAAATTTACCATATACCCCCGAATGAGTTGGACCCTCTCTTGTCGAGCTTTATTGTGAATGTCCGCACAAAATCTGGCGAAGAATATGAACCTACAAGTCTTAGGGGAATAATAGGGAGCTTTGAAAGACACTTAAAACGTCATCGGTATCAGTTTTCGTTAATTACAAGCTTTGAATTTGCGCAGTGCAGAGAGGCCCTAAAAGCAAAACAAAAAGATTTAAAAGCGCAAGGGCGTGGAAACAAACCCCAAAGGTCCGACTCTTTAACTCATGATGAAATTGAAACTCTCTTCAATACTGAACAACTGGGAAAAACTACACCTACCTCGTTGATAAACACACTATGGTTCAATAATACGTTGTATTTTGGCATGCGAGGGGGGACAGAACATCGAAACATGAAATGGGGTGATGTAGTCTTGAAAAGGGATGAGGCACTTCAACTTGACTTCTTAGAATATCACGAAAGGGCAACCAAAACTAGAACTGGTGTGGATGTCACTGATAGCCTTGCCTGCCCACCACGGATGTATGCAACCCCTGAGACCCCTGAAAAATGTCCCGTATCCACCTACATTTTGTATAGAGATAAACGCCCAGACGGATATTCAAAACATGAAGACCCCTTTTACATTTCTGTGGTAACAAACGAAAAACGCCCTAAAATGCAGGACCGATGGTTTATTTCTAGCCCCATGGGTGTCAACAAACTTAATGACCTAATGAAAAGAATGTCAAAAAATGCAGGCCTACCTGATAATAAGAAAATCACAAACACGAGTGTCCGGAAAACCCTGGTCCAAAGGATGACGGATTTGAATGTCCCTGATACATTAAAAGTGTACGTAACAGGTCACAAAAACATTCAGTCATTGAATAACTACCGCACAATAAATGACTCACAGAAATACGCAATAAGCAGCATTTTATCAAATTCATCTTGTAATAATTCCTCAATGGTTCCATTCTCAAATTCTTCTGCACCAAAACATTCTCGTTTTGAATCATCATCAACCAGAGCGCTGCCCAGCTCTACAGTGACAAATGCACTCCCGTCCTTCGACTTGACACCAATTTCAGATAATACCGCCTTTGAAACTCAAAACAACCAGGTCAATATGCAGCGTTCCTCAAATTCACAACATTCTTTTGGATCCATATTTAGCGGGTCTCAAATACATGGGAACATCACTGTTCATATCACAAACAATTCTTACCAATCTCGGAAGCAAATCCGTGTTATTGACTCCGACTCTGACTAGACTTTTCAACATGTTTCACACATGCATATGTAGGTCACATTATGCAAAGACATTTCGAATGTAAACATTCCTTCTTATATAAACATTGTAATAATTTATATTAATATTTTCCAATATGATTAAATTGTTGTTCTTTTATTTATTAAATTAAATTTATTTTCATTCAAAAGACTGCTGTTTTTTCACTTTTTGAATAGGACTATTTTAAGTTCGCGGAAGGATTTTTCTGAAAGGAATTAAACGTTCACGGACGTTTTTAAAAAAATTATTTCAGTTTAGGCAGTTTTAAGGGGATTGAAATTTATTTTTTTAGTTTACACTTACAGTGTAAACCATTTTCAGGTATGATTTCTTAGATGGTGTATTCAGATTTTTAATTAGATGCAAAATAAAAAAAGTAATTTTTTCAATGGCGCTGACAGACCTTTATTTGGATAAATAATGCGAGAAAAATAATCATTCATTACACACTCGTGTGGGATAGTGAAATTCCACCCCGGGGCCAAGATTCACGGTCTAGGACTCGGCAACCCCTCGTCCTAGACTGTGAATCTTGTCCCCTCGGTGGAATTTCACTATCCCACATTCGTAGCAATGAATGATTCTATTAATATTACATGTAATATTACATTATTTTAATTTTCATTTCTGTTAATATTAATGTTATTTGTAATACATGTATTCACTAGTTTTAGACTTTTTTTTTACAAATCAACAATATAGCGGATCCGGACAAGACTGTAATAGATCATGTTAATGATAAATAACGTACTTTTTAATGTTATATTTTACATAATTTCATGATTATAAAAAATGTATTTGAATGCATAAAAAAGACATAAGATCTTACTGTATGTCAAAATCCTTTTGTATTGATTCAAATTCCAAAACTATTTCGGAACCCGCATACTACCAACCCTCATGTTCATTAACAGTAAGCACAACATCTTTGGAAACGTTATTTATTTCCAATGTTTTATCAACAATTGATATATTATAAGTCTTAGAAACCATCTTTTCAACTGTCCATTTCCCAAATATTTCTGAATTTCTGGTCTGTTGAATAATTTGTTTTCTTTTGTCTGTTACCTCTGTTCCTACACTGGCGGCTGTACACACGCGACAGGGACCGTATCCATTTTTCCATCCATTTAAGAAAAATATTGTCACCTTTTAAGCAAATAAATTAAAACATAAGCAAATACGTTTTTAAATCACAGAAAATTAAAGTGATTTTTTATACCAGTTATGACTTTTTAAGTTGACCTACGTTTCCTTTTAAGTAGTATGCTGTGATAAGTACAGCCAATAAGGTTTCCAATATACAGGATTTACTTTATTTAAAAAAGAAATGTAAATTAGGTTCCGGTGTTACATGTAACTTTATTATAACTTCTTACGTTAAGACGGCCGGATTGCTCTACGGTAGTCGAGTAGCTCATACATCCACCATAGATTCCAAAAACACCCTGAACCCCAACAGTTATGATGATATATAAGAATAACATCTTTTTAGTATGTCATCAACTGTAAAGAATATTTTTTAATCAATAATGCAATTTGTTATGAACTTTTTAAATCGAAATTGCAAATTTCACATCTTCACGGAGATATAGTGATGGTTATTCACGTGATAAACTCCCAAACAGCGTCAGAGATAATGTGACCACGTACCAACAAACGTTATATTATCATTGTTATATACGAGAGTTGTCCAGTAAAATCGTGGACAAGACAAGTTGTCTAGTGAGAAAAATAATCATCCCTACGTTCTGAAATTTTTACTACTCTTTAGTATATGTTTTATGAATAAACATAGCAAATTTAAAAAAGATATACTTAGTATGCATAAATTTTGTATCGCCTTACGGCGCACGGATGATTACGTCAAAGTGTCTAAAACAGCATCACATCTATCTTTGCTAAAAAAAAGTTAGATGAGTCCCTCTATAATTTAGGAATTTCATTGATACGCATATTCGAGTCTCCATAAACAGACGAGAAACCAGTTTGGCACACACATGCGATCTATTGAAGATTTATTAGTAAGTTGTGGACAAAATTCTCACCATCATTCAACTAAATAGACAATCTTATATCGACGGTTGACAGTGACAGCGTCTTTGCTGTAAGTAACAATAGCAGTTTGTCCATATGTTTTGTAGTAACCGGGGATTCAATCAAAAAAATTTCGCTAAGGAAACTCCGATTTAATTTGAATACTAAAGATTTGGTGATTTTTCATATTTTTCTTTTTTTATATTCATTTAAAGTCTCTAATTGTGTCCTTACTATATTTTAATCTAACTGAACTGCTCTCTGGTGCACCGTCATGTCATCAAACGTCTCGATTTTTCATGTGTTATGTTAATTACTTTCTCATTTCGAATGCTCGGGAAACTGTCAAAAATTTACAAATTCCCTTGATTTTTTTTTTTAAAAAGACGACAAAATGAATTATGGAATCAAATAAGCATAATTTGTACTCCAATCTTATCTATTTCAAACTTTTATTTCGAATAAATACCCACATTTCTCCAATAAAACCATGACTTTTTGACCGTGCGCCTTCGGACCGTACTTTGGGCACATTAAAGCTTATCAAAAACTTTCTTTTTATCTTTATTTTATCAAAAATATGATGCACTTAAATATGATAGATAAACATTTACTGAAAATTTTAGGTAAGTGCGCTCATTATTTTTCGAAAAAAAAAACCGCTTTGTCCACGATTATACCGGATAACCCTCGTATATGAGACGGAAAATTCTATTTAAATTCCCATTCACTGTCTACAATGACAAGGTGTAAATGAAAGCTATACGGATTGATAAAAAAGGAAAAATATTTTTAAATAAATATTTATTATCAATGCTGATTAAAAATTGCATTATGAAGGCTTTTTAGTTAACGCATAGTTGAGGAATATTAAGGTTGAAAAAACACGGTTTAAGCTGGATGAAAGGATGTAATCACCATTTCAAAAATGACCTAAAGGAGAGAAGAATTTTTCAGAAAAAGTCACTTAAAAAATTAATGCTCTATAATTGATAACTTATCTAAATATATCTTTTTTCAATGTTTATTTTGAACCTAAAATTTGTCATTTACACCTTAAAAATAAACCTCCAGAATTGGCCAAAACAGCAATTCATCTGTTAAAGCACAATTTTGCGCATTGTTTTTAATTACCTAGTGGTCCTTTCGGGTAAACAATAGTTTTTTTTTATAGGGATTGTTAAATTATCTATATTTTACAAATGTATATTGTTGATTCAACAGACACTAAAGAGAAAGAAATCATAAATACCACCGTTACTAAAACACGGTAAAGCAGAACGTCATATAGCAATCGAATTGATAAGTCATTGTTTTCAGACGCAATTATGCTATGTATTAGAACTTTATATGATCAATGCAGGAGGCTAACAGGAAATGTGATCAGAGAAGAAGGGATGTTTGCTCATTTTGCAACTGATCCTATAAAATATTTTTAGATTCACACTTCTTTATCTTGATATGTTACAAAATCTAAAAGGGTGGTTGCACTTTTCATTTTGTAATTAGGTTTTTTTCTTTAAAAAGAAAGTGTTATTCTAAAATTTAAAAAAAGAAAGAAAAAAATCAACATCAATACGTTCATACTTACCCATAGGAAAGACAGTACAACGATTAGAAGATTACAGTCTAAATTTGCTTAAGTAAATATATGAATGCTAGGTCTGACAGTATCTTTTATAGGAAAAAGATAAGATCGATCATGTAAGGCTCTAAAATATGTGTTGGGTAATTCCTCATAGCAATTTATCAGATATAGGTAACGTTGTTTTAAAAGATGACTAAAAGGTTATCTAAGGTCATGAAAAATAACTTTGGTCCCCAACATTTTCGAAATTTTATTTTTTTTTTCATAAAATAGCATCAACGATATAACTTGTAATAAAAACTGTTGTATAAGATGAGTTCTTTATTTTGATATAAACTTTAATGCAAACAAAAAATCTTTCTGACACAAAATGTAAAGAGATATCTTAGAGCTTATATGTTGTTAAGGAATAAGGTTTAACAAGGCAAATCAAATAAAAAAATATATATATTTAGATGACAAAAAATTCCACCCATAGGAACCATTTATCATATCATTTTAGACCGATATAAACTCGGTTTATGGTCTACATTTCATATTCTGGCTTTCAAGTTTACTTAATTTGCCCTTTTTCTGCTGATATCAATTTCATACGGGGTCAATACATGATGGAATTCGTCAAAGCATGCTATTATACTTCTGTTAAAATGTTTCCTATATAAAGTTCAGAAGGTAAAATAACTGTTCTTCATAGTGTAAAAATTTCCCCGCATAGAAAACTATACCCCGGGGTACAGTTTTTGCTACCCGCCACTTGGAAAATTTTCGTGCAATTTTTGACGCCAATTTTAATTTCCAGCGTTAAATGCATAGCCTGATGATGTCATAATGACTTCAGTAGCATTGTGACGTCATCAGGATTTCAGCTCATTCTTGCAGTATTATCTAACTCCAAAGAAAATTAAAAGCTTAGAAATTTTGATATACATCAGTATAATAAAACACTTATCCATTGGTTGTGCAAGCCCTCGGGGAATAGTTCCCTGTCCCGGGTTTAATAAAAGAGCTATCCCACTCACAACAATTGGATAAGTGTATTTTATTCAATATTATTTGAAATTATAAATGAACCTTCACACGTGCTATGTTTTTGTAGCGTAATTTTTGTATGAAATATGACGAAAACGATACGATTTTAAAGAGATACTAAGTCTTTAAGGACAACTGTACAACAATATACAGTTACATGTATTGATTAGGTGTTCAGTATATTGAATATTAGGCCATCTGAGTAAACCTAGGCGATCCATTGCTATCCATTTCTTTTCTGCATCCACTCAACTTCTTTCAACCAAGATTGGCATAAAATATCTATAGGTGAGGGACAACACAAATTGTAAATTTCATGTTCCCTGCCCCCTGGGGCCAAAGGGATGGGTCCAAAACCACTAAGATTAATGAAGTCTTTAAAAACTTCTTCTTGACTCCTGGACAACAAGCAGTCAAACTGTTTGCATGGTTGTAATCAACATTAAGTCCTCTACCAAGACTGTGAAATTCTTGGCCCGAGGGTCAGGGGTTCTAATGTTATGGTAGGGCTATATAGATTATATATTGAAAATGCACTATTTCATTGAAAATCTTTTTATCTACTCCTGGGCATTTAATAATAAACTAAGTACGTAGTAATGTCAAATAAGACTGCCTCTTTAAAAATTTTGAATTCCATGGGTTCTTAAGTGCTAGGGTGGGGCTATATAGAATATACAGTGATCATAAATTATTTCTACGAAGATCTTCCTCCTTGGTATTAAACCAGTGAACTATGTGCATAGTTATAATAAGGAAGGGTGCCACTTCCAAAATTGTGAATTTTAAGGGCCCCTAAGTTGGGTGTTCTGGTGCTAAGGTGGGGCTGTACTGATTATTTAGTGAAAATACAATTGTTCTTTTTTAAAATTCTTCTCTGCTCATGGGTATAAAATAAACGAACTAAGTACATAGTTATGTTGGATAAGGCAGTCTCCTTTAAAATTGTTTATTTCATGGCCCCGGGGGTGAGGGGTTCTGATTTTAGGGTTGCGCTCTTTTGATTATAGTTAACATACATTAATTATTTAGAAGAAATCTTTTCTGCTCCTGTAACTAAACCAGCGAACTATGTAAAAAGTTTTGATGAGGAAGGATGCCTCTTCCAAATTTGTAAATTTAAGGGCCCATGGGTCAGGCAATTTGGTGTTAGGGCGGGGCTCTACTGATTATGTAGTGAAAATGCGTGAATGCTTTGAAAATCTTTTCCTTTGCGAATTATGCCAATAATCTATATATGTAAATGCATAATAATGATGATGAAAAGTGCTTCCTCAATAATCGTTATTTTAGGGCCCAGGTCAGGCCAAGGTCAGGGGCACTTAGGATGAGGAGGGGGGATTTACATAGTCGTAAAAAAATTAATGCTTTGAAATCTGCATTTGGTACATGTATTAATCAAACATTTATGATGAAAAAGATTTTTTATAAACCAGAATTTTGAAATGTGTGTGCCCAGGGTCAGTGGTTCCATTGGGTTGGGTATACACAACTGGTTATAAAGTGGAATAAAATGATTTGATGCAAAATGTATATTTTACCTGATATAACTACACATTCGGGTGTTAACTAATTGTGAAAAGAAACATCTTTCTTTAGTCGATTTGAAGATGACACATACACTTTGTGTGCCTTATCTGTTTAAATTTGTATTTTAGGGGTATTTATGTCGTTGAAATGGATATATGCTTTTTGAGAAAAGCATCAGTTTTGGAGTTTATGGAGATTTGACACGAAATGATTAAACAGCATGGGGACAACGCTTTTATTTTTACATCATGTTTTCAATAGGAGATTGACCGTTAGACCTGTCCATTGTTGGAACTGAGAGAAGTGTACGAAGCTCAGAGAGTCTCTTCATATAACTGAGTTATCCGGTGGTGAATAACAAGAGAACAAATAAAACTGAAAATTAGTGGTGTGGCTCGTATATTTGATTCTCAAGATGCCATCAAATGAACTATATCTACCACTGTTACAGCAAAAGGTTGAAATGTGTCATATATATGTTGTATGTTCACCTACTCCTCGAGAATCTTTGGTGCATTTTTTATTGAAACCATACCATGTATATCCCTGTATTTTTATTTCTTCTTTTCCTATTGGATGAGTTTCACAGACGGATTCTATGTCATTGTTAGTAGTCCGTATTATTTGTGACTTTAACTTTTAATTCTCTCTGGTCCATCCACAAATGTTAATATGGCTGATTTTAATAATATCAACGAGCTGCTTTGATTACTATGCTTTATTTTTTTTCAAGGTAGATCGGATGGCCTGGGGGATATCGACGTCTGATTGGTCCGTTTGCATTAACACAAATGAATCTACCATGCACTACCGTATAATTAGCGTGTACTGAGCGAGAATTACTTTCAATGAGACGTTCCCCAGCAGGCACACAACGTAGTTAAACGTTAAATGTTAGTTGAAGTTGGGTTAAGACGTTTATTAATCTAAATACAATATGGATTCAACGTTCATTTTTTAACGTTGAAAATGTAACATTGATTCAACATTGAATTCAAATTGAGTTGAATTGCCAACATTGATTCAACGTCGGATCTTCGCTGAGCAGTCCAATCCTAGTTTTCGCTGATAGATAATTCGGACTACAATAGTGTCGGAATATAACACTGTCGGACCATAACGAGGTCGGACTTGACAAAGTCGCACTGCCCTATATCATTACTAACTAATATAACTAACCAAAAATTAAGGATGGTAAATATGGGTATTTTACACATTCAATGATAAATATAAATTCAGTACGAATTTGCCAAAGAACGAATTAAGAGCATATGCAGTAGGACATCCGGAAAATATTCAAAAAGACAGCATAACAGTTACTGGAAGGTTTTGAGAATTCTAAAGATTTTATATATACAGCTGTGGTTAGGTTTAAAAATTAAAACTCGATTTAATTGTTATCTATCTTAATTGATCGTGATTATGCCGGATGTTTTTGAATTTCAACTGACGCAAATTTCATTGCACATTATAGGGACAATCAACTAAAAGCTGCACCACCGTGCTCTGTCTACTCAGAAGACCAACATAATCCATTAGACATTACACTAATCTGTATCGCGCGAGATCAACACAACCCTCAGGATTCTAACATCAAGATTAATTAAAAAATACTCTTTAAAGAAAATATTTCGGCATGTCAGAGTATCATTGAAGAGAAATAATTTGTCGAAATGCATATCTGGTGCATCAAAAGTGGTACCGTATAAGATTTGCATCTTACCTTGGAATGGTTTCATGTTCTGGACTATTTCATAACCGCATGTGAAAATACAAACCGTTTGTAAATGATTGGGTTTAATAACATGATTAATTTATAAAATGTATTTTGGTGAAAATTATTGTAACACAATTAATCATTGATAGGAAATCAAATATTAACTGTTTAGAAATATATATAATATTATACAATATATTATATTTTTTAAGTATAGTGGTATACCGTATGTCTTCCTTTAAGGGGTCCCGACCTTCTGCTATAAATTTAACCTTAGAAAATTTTAAATTTAATATTGTTTTTTATAAACAACAATAACATTAGAACCACAGGGAAATAGTTTGAAGTATGAAGCGCTGCTTATTTTACAGAAATGATTTTAATGTGCAGATCATGATATGAAGAAATTGAATGAAGAGAATAGAAAGAGTAACGATTTATTACCACAACATTGATTTAAAATATGAGGTGCATATGAAAAAAATACTTACTATAATGCCTATTTAAATCATGTTAGAAAAAATCATGGAGCGATGCTTCCTAAGTCAGAAAATCACAATGTTGTATGTGGTTGTAAGAAAAAATAAATCTGTGATGAGGAGTTATCTTTCTTCTAAATATTTCTTCATGTGAAAAAAATGTCATGCTAATAAAAATGATGTTGGATTTAAATGTTTTATAGTTAACTAAAATTAAAAAAATTACAAAGAAAGTGCCAAAAGAAATATAAAATCATGTTTCCATCATATGTTAGATCTCATCAAATTGACT